ACTTTGAAAGTCATCCTAAAGTAACAGTTTATTGGCAGAACTTGGACTTAAGCCAATGAATGCCTTCCTTTCCTAACTTAGAAGCTAGACCTCATTATTACCAGTTAGCCAATCTTGGCTTCTGTGTTACTTGCGCTGTAATTTGAGGCGCAAATGGACCTTAGGCATAAGATGGGTGAGGCGATGACAGTAACTAGGTCGCCTCAAAAATTCCTGAGATAGAGCTAAGGAAGCTAACTTTTTGATTAGTACAGACCCATGTGTCTGAGTCGATGACAAACCTTGGAGAAGGTACGAGGTATTGTTCTGCGTTCACTCAGGAGGTCTTTGTTGTTGGGGTTTCTTAATTAGTCCCATCTATTCTTAACTGTTATTTTATAGGTGTTCTTTCTAGATTCTCACAGAAAGTTGCACGGCAGGTCTCGATTTCTGTGTTCTTGGGTCTCTAAATATTTTCATGTGAAGCAATGGTGGGGAAGGTGGCTAGCCAGACTCGATTGTGCACCGGCAAGTCTTAGTACTGAACTTGAACCCCTGCAGTCCTTCCTTCACAGACAGCTTCCTTTGAAGATATCCTTTCTTGTGACTGTCACCTAGACCAGGAGCCCTTCACTGAAATCTCAAAAAAAAGCATCCATTCTCAGATCTTGCTCTAAGACTCTTTGCAGTGTGGATAAAGTGACTAACCTTACCCAGCTGGACCTAACCTTTTCCTCGTTTGTTTCTTCTTACCCAGGGAGAGCTTCTGTATGTGAAATGTGAGGGTTTCCATTGCTTCTCCCTGGGCACTGGACAATATAACCTCAATTACTGTTCTACCACCTGAGCTCAGAAGACTATATTGTATTGACCAGTCTAGTAGAGACTATATTTCCTTCTTCTACAAACCCTTTGGTTATTCCTTGATTTAAACATTATTTATTAAGTACTTGCTCTGTGCCACCGGTTGGGCTCTGAACTGGGGCCAAGACTTAGGGAAAGAAGACCCAGCCCGGCCCTTGGGGCCCTTGTCATGTGCTCAGGGGCCTGAGGTTGCAGCTCTTAGAACTGTTCCTCTGTTTTATTTACTTATTAAAATGTTGATAATTTTTTGCTGTGGAAAATTTCAAACATATAAAAGTAGAGCGAATAAGAAAATGATTCCACTTTACCCATCAGTTGTTTCAGCAATTACCAACTCTTAGTCCATCCTGTTTTATCCGTATCTCCCTCCACCCAGCTACCTAGCCCATGGATTATTTTTGAAGAAAATCTCACGTATTATATTATTTCATTGGTGAATATTCCAGAATATATCTCAAAACTGTTTTTAACAGACAAGGACTGTTTTTCAGAAATATAATTATAATGCCATTATCACCCTTAACAAGTTAACAATAATTCCATAATATAACCAAACATCCAGCGCTCAGATTTCCCCGATTGTCCCATGATGTTTGGTTTTGTTATTTTTAGGTGGTTCAATTGAGGATCTGAATGTAGTCTGTACATTACAACTAATTGATGTCCCTCAGTTTCTTTAATAGATAGGTTACTTTGCCAACTCTCTCTCTTTTTTTCTTTCCAGTTTTTTGGTTGAAGAAATGGTCATTTCCCATGTAGTTTCCCATCATCTAGATCTTGCTGTTTGTATGCCCATATATTAAAATATTTCCCTGTCCCACATATTTTCTGTAAATTGGTAGTTAGATTTAGTGGCTTGATCAGAATCAAGCTTGTTATTTTTGGTAAGAATACAGTATGGTGACTGTCTCTTTATTTTTAATCTACAGCCACCAGATAGTCCTCCCACAATTACATATTTAGTTAGAAGATGGTTTTTCTAAATATCTAAAGATAGAAAATCTCCAAACACCTCATTATTCCAAAGAGATTTCCAAAGATGATTTTATTAGTTTTCTAGTCTATCATAATAAATCAGTGCAAATTTAGTGACTTAAAATACAAATTTATTATTTTACAGTTCCTTAGGTCAGAAGTTCACTGTAGGTCTCACTGGGCTAGGATCAAGGTGTTGGCAGGGCTGGGTTCCTTGATGGAGGCACCAGAAGAGAATGCATGTCCTTGCCTTTTCCAGCTTCTAGAGGCCGCCAGCATCGCAGGGCTTATTGTTACCTTCTCCGACCTTCAAAGCCAGCAAGTTGAATCTCTCAGATCCTTCTTCATGTCTCCCTGTGACTGCAGTTAGAAAATGTTCTCTGTTTTAAGGACTCATGATTACACTGGGTCCACCTGGATAATTCAGAATAATCTCTGATTTCAAATGACTTAATCTTAATCACAACTACAAAGTTCTTTATGCTGAGTAAGGTCATGTATTCCCAGGTTGCAGGGACTAGGAAGTGGACATCTTTAGGGGGCCATTATTCTATGTATCACAGTAGTCATCCATTTTTTAAAATTAACATCATTATAAAACTGAAGAATGATTGATAGAGTGTGGTGTGTTTCAGATGACCTATTGTGATGTAATGACTTGGGATATGTGTAGGGTAGGGCAGCTGACAGTATTGCGCTGTTCAGTATGACATCATAGTTTTGCATGGTTCTACATGACTGTCTGCAAGATTCTTCACTGTTTATATTTTTGTAAGTAGCAGCATTTTATTTTGTTCATTGTCTCTAAGATGACCATACCACCTCCCCTTGGAAATTTCACTTTAGGACTTGGAAGAAGCTCAGGTCGTCAATGTCATTATTACATATTCAGTATCTCAGTTCCGTGGACTGTCTGTGTCTTTGGGCTGTGGAATGAAGATTTGTTATAGCACTTAACCGTAGTGACGAAGTGCTAAGTTCTTACAGAAATGATGTGAGTGGAGCAGAATTTTTAGCCCTTTTTCTGTTTTGCATTAGAGAGAGAACCTTTAAGTAGTTAAGCCATGAAGTGAGTCGAAGTTGAGAGAAAAGAGTACAGAATATCTATTTTTCACAGTAGATAATATATGTCTCTACTAGATAAAGCAACTTCATAACCTTAATGATTCTTTTTCTATTTGGAAGCTGTAGAGGAATCTCCTTTCCTCTTTTTAAATTGTTTTACCTTTTAATTCATGTTGATACTTGACCCTCAGTCCTATATATAGATTATTTTGGGGATGCATTTGGAATTTTGCTATAATATCGGTCATCCTATAGCTGCACTGGGTTGATGATAGATTTTTCTTGGAGGCCATCCAAGAGGTTGTTACTAAAGACCAAAAGGACCTCATTATAAAGAGATTTTGCTATAAAATGGTCCCTTAGAATGATCCCTGGAGAAAGCAGGTCATTTGTATAGTTTAAAAAATACGTTGTGTCAAGAAATGTCACTAAGGGGTCCTTACCTCACACCATTAGTTTAAATAAATTCCAGATGAATTAATGAGTTAAGTGTAATGGCTTAATTCCATAAAAAGACTGGGAAAAAATATAAGTAAATGTTAACGTGGTCTTGGATAAGAAGACCTTTGAGATTTCTGCTTTTGTAGATATGCCTTCATGTGAACGAGCCATTTAAAAAACCCCATCAACAAATGAAGCCACAGTTGGCATGTTACCCTCATCTGGCTTATTGCTGGGGTAGAAAGAACCCTCAGATTCAGCCTCAGAATGTTCTTTCATACACACCTGAAATCAAAGGAAAAAGTCCTTACAAAGAGATCACTGAGACTCCAAAGAACAAACCAATATCAAATTTTAAAGAAAGAACCTTTTGTAACTTGAGTTCTTTTCTCTTTAAATTTTCAAAATCTAGAAAAGCAATACATTTTTTAAAACAAAAATTCTATTTTACTATTTATTGTTTTGTGTCCTGCTTTTTTACTTAGTAACATATCATGGACTTCTTTTACAACATCAAAATATACATGGGCAATATGTCTTCGAATTGCTATGCAGTGTTTTATTATATGGCTATATTATACGTTTTTAAACAAATCACAGTATTTGGGTATTTGGATAGTTTCCAGTTTTTCACTGTTATAAATGTATCGGTATGGGTCCAATTAGGAGAAAGAGAGTTGAACAGGGAAAGTTTAATATGCAGAATTATTAACTATAACAGGAAATTAGAGTAACCACTTCAGAGAAGTCACTGTGGTGCGCAGCCAAGCTGGTAGAACTTGCTAGAATCTGCCCTCTAGGGTGCCGGGGCTGCTCTTCATGAGAGTGTCTAACTGGAGGCAGGCACTCTCCTACAAAGCTGCCCAAGGAGAGGGTGCATTGGCAGAAGCTGCTGGCCTTGGGGTCCTGCTGGCCCCTGTGCACCGCGGGAGCCTGGCCAGAGAGCAGGCTGGAGGCCGGAAGCCACCCTGGCCCCCTGAGATGTCTCTGCAGTCCCCTCTACTGACAGAGTTGGCAAAGAAGAAAATATTTAAGGGGCCCAGGTCTATTTTCACAGAGCAGCCAAAAAGGGGTCCATTTGGAGCTGAGAGGCAATACATTGATAACCAGCACAGGAGGCGAGGTTTCCAGGAAAGCCATTGTGTGGACGTCTTGCATGCGGCCCGAATGTTTCTTCCATACGTTCCTAGCCGTGGAATTGATAGATGAAACGCTAGGCTCAGTTTCCTCTCTAGAAAGGACTGTGAACTGTCCTCGCATGACCCAGTACCTAGGAGCTTTTAGTTCTTCACACTTTAGTCAACCCTGGGCATTAGCTTTTTTTTTTTTTTCATTTTCATTTCTTGTCTATCTTTGCCCATTTTAAAAATTGGAAGAGTAAGTCTTTCTTACTGATCTGTACATGCTCTTTATGTATTAAATATTCAAAAGTTTAAATGCTTATGTAGTCAAATCTTACGTTCATTTTTAATATTTAAAATTTTAATTCATCTGGAAATCATTTTAGTTTAAGGTAGGAGGTAGGTATTTAATTTTTTAAATTTAATGTTAACTGTTTTCTCTTTTTCTGACTGATTTAAAATGTTACTTTTGTCATGTATTGAGTTGTGTTACAGACCTGGGTATGAAATTGTTTTCCTTTGGTTTTTAGATAATTGCTTTACTTTTTCTTTCAGAACAGGATGCAGGCCTTGATGCCCTTTCCTCTATCATAAGTCGCCAAAAACAAATGGGGCAAGAGATTGGGAATGAGCTGGAGGAACAAAATGGTAAGAACATTTCTGAGATTGACCAGATTTGCCATTTAGTATAAATACTGAAGGCTCGAATATTTGTTAAATGATTTTAATATTACAAAGCATGTATCATGGTTTAATATCAATGGATGATTATATTTAATGCAATTGAGGGTGGTTTGTGCAGATCTAGATTGTAGTTACTAAATGCTCTATAAAGAAATTTGGTAAAAAATTTCCAGTTCTCTGGAGCTACTTTTAAAAATACCTTGTTTTACGATCCATTTATTCCAAGAGCTTTCCTTCATGTGTAATGCGGTGAAGTTGCTCAGTGCATTGTACGCTGATGCGAGGCACTCGAAAGCTGCGGGGACTGTCATCTGCAAGCCTGGTGGAGCGGTTCCTCTTCCATCACAAACCATCACAAATACCAGCTGCAGGGCAAGAAAGTGCTTGAGGATCTTTATTCAGGGCTTGATGTGGTGAATCTGTTTGAAGGAAGATGCATTTGCAATCCACAGGCTAGCTGGCTTGGAAGAGACAGAGCTTTAACTTAAGTGCCTGCAGGTCAGGCTCTTGGGCTTGACGTGTGAGGTGTGAGTTGCGACAGTCCTGGAGCCTGCATGAGAGTTGAGAGTAGGAATGCAGAGGAGAGGGTGGAGGCTGAGGACCGGTGGCGCTTTAACTGTGATGGGCTTGTTCAGGGCAATTGGGAAGCCACTGGTTTGTGAGTGGAGATCATAAATCCAGTTCAGATGTGTCCAGTTGGAGATGCCGGTGAGAGATCTGAGTAGACAGTGGGAGATACGGTGCCAGAGCTCATGAGAGGACAACCAAAGACAAGAGGCATGAGAAGCTTCAGTATAGGGGTGATGTGTGGAAGCTGAGCTTCAGTGAAGCTCCTACTACGTGCTAAGCACTTTCATATGTGTCATTTTATCAACACCATGAAGGCAGTGGTATCTCTGTTTGTTAGAGATGAAGCTCAGACTGGCAGAGGGACCTCCTACTATCACATCATTTATACGTGACGGAACTGAAATTCCAACTCAGGCCTTCAGATTATGTAATGTGACTGCCTTTTCTACCTCACCAGCTTCCTCTCCAGAGAAGACAAAGTAGGGAGAGAAAAGTAAAAAGTGAGAGGGTGTAAGTTTTAGCATTTCGTGATAGTACTATGGAGGCTCATGATGGAATGGCTTCCAAGTAAAGTTATCATGTATGAGCAAGCATGGAAGCCCCAGGAGCAGGCGAATGCTGGCTCCGGAGGGAGGGCTGCCCCTGTCAAAATTGTACAAGTGGTACTTTTCTTGATCTCCATGAAAAATGAGTTCATTTGTTCCCATAGCACTATTCCATTTATGTGTCATCAATAAATAAATAAATTCATCATAGGCAAATAGATTGTTAAAGCAAATGGAGAAACTCTGCATCTTTATAATCCTAATAGTGGTTTTTCGTCATTTAAGCACAGACGGGAAGACAGTTTAGCCCTTTCCTGATGGTGCTCCTGTGAATGTGCTGATTCATGTATTTGCATATAATTTAGTCATTGGCTCATTCCTTCCGTGAATGACAGTATTAGTAAGAAAGTTAGCTCTGTAGAAAATCTGCCTATCATATGTATAATGTTCGTTATCCCAAGGAAATTTAGCCTATGCAGTGGGTCAGACTAGAAAGGACACCATACCGGTGAAGCATGCCTTTCTATGACCACACCGGTAAAGCATGCCCATCTGTACCACACCAGTGAAGCATGCCCATCTGTACCACACCGGTGAAGCATGCCCATCTGTACCACACCAGTGAAGCATGCCCATCTGTACCACACCAGTGAAGCATGCCCATCTGGACCACACCAGTGAAGCATGCCCATCTGGACCACACCAGTGAAGCATGCCTATGACCACACCGGTGAGGCATGCCCATCTATACCATACTGGTGAACATACGTGTCTATGACCACACTGGTGAAGCATGCCCACCTATTACCCACTGGTGAATCATGCCCGTCTGTTACCCATTGGCGAAGCATGCCTGTCTATGACCACAGTGGTGAAGCATGCTCATCTGTGACCCACTGGTGAAGCATGCCCATCTATACCATACTGGTGAAGCATACCTATCTATGACCACAGTGGTGAAGCATGCCTATCTATTACCCACTGGTGAATCATGCCCATCTATTACCCACTGGTGAAGCTTGCCTGTCTATGACCACAGCGGTGAAGCATGCTCATCTAATACTGCACTGGTGAAGCACCCCTGTCTGTACCACACTGGTGAAGCATGCCACTGTGGGTAGATGGTCAAGAATTGATGGTTCATTCTTTGGTGAAGTGACTTGCTGACTTCCCAGAGGAAATCACCATACATTTTTCCCACATAAGCAATCATGCCAGCATGTTCTTATCTTGTCTTTTCTCTAGTTCAGTAGTTATCATACTTTTGCTGCATGTTAGAATCACCTGTGGAGCTTTTAAAGCTCCCAAAGCCCAGGCCAAACCTGAGTTAGTTGCTATTCTAATAAGTTATCATCACAAACTTAGTGGCTTAAAACAACACACACAATACTCCTTTATAGTTTTGAAGCTCAGAAGTCTGAAATCAGTGTCACTGGACTGAAATGAAGGTGTCCTTTCCAAGGCCCTGGGGAGAAGTCATTTCTTGGCCTTTTCTAGCTTCTAGAATTATCTTCCCTGCATCTCTCTGCTCATGGCCCCTTCCTTCATCTTTGAAGCCAGCACCATAGCATCTTGCTTCAGTTGTCACATTGCCTTCTGTGTCAGATTTCTCTGCCTCCCTTTTATAAGGACATTTGTGATTACATTTAGGCCCCAACCACATAACCCAGGATAATCTCTCCATCTCATCTTTAATTAATTAATTTATAATTAAAATTTTTTCAATTACAGTTAACATAATATTCTGTTAGTGTCAGGTGTACAACATAGTGATTAGTTATTTATGTAACTTCTGAAGTGATCACCTCAATAAGTTTAGTACCCATCTGACACCGTACACAGTTATTACAATGTTATTGACTATATTCCCTATGCTGTACTTTACATCCTTGTGACTGTCTTTATATTGGCAATTTTACATCTTAATCCCTTCCCCTTTTTTATTCTTAATTTATTAGCACACCTGCAAAGTCCCTTAGCCATATAAGGTAACACCCACAGATTCCAGGGGCCAGGATGTGGGTGTATGTTATTCAGCCTCCCGCATACTTTCCTGAAGGGCTCTAGTGTACCTTTATAATGGCAGTTCACTGGAAAGTAGATGAAAGCTCTGATCACTGTGTGTCCTTCAGGGAGCATAGCCGTTATTTTCTAGCTCTTTCAAAGGACACACCGGTCTCCTCAATGGCAGCATTGCTGCTGCTGAGACAAGTGGTCTTCCTTATCCCCTGGGTTTCTTTCGGAAAGCAAGGAAAGGCAAAGATTGACAGACAGAAAGAGGATTGGCCAACTTGGGGGTATTTGAGCATCGAGAGGAATGATGGGGACTGGCACACGAGCAGTGATGTGTGGAGCAGCCGTTTTATCCACCAGAGCCGTGCATCTGGCTCTTCTTGGTGCCAACTTTAAGGTTTGGCCAATGCCAAAATTAGGCCTCAGCGACATTGCTTCAGTCAGCTCAGTCCTGTTCACTTTCTCGTTTGTGTTCTTTTCAAAAGGCCCTGTCCTCTTGAGTATGAACTTTAAGGAATTTTCCAGTAAACCAGCACACAGCTCTTCGCTCGGGACTGCGTCTGGGTAGTCTCACGGGAGCCCTTTGTGCCCAGCCTTCCATACCGTTCACCATGAACCGAAGCACTAAGCTCTGGCTCCAGGGGCTGGGCTTGGTCAGGCCTGCACTGCTCTCTTCTGCCCACCCGCACCTTCAGCAGCTCCCAGCCCCACGCCCACTACACACTTAGGTTGCCGGCCACTCGCATGCCACCCCTTTTCCTCATCAGGCGTGGCCCCTGGCATATGAACGGAATAATTACTGGTATTGGTCAGGCCCTTTTCAGCTCTACACGAGAAAGCTGGAAATGGAATTTCTAAGTGGATGGTTATTTGGCCCTTCGGCTCTGTGGTTATGTTGTGTTTTGTCAAGAGGGTTTTGATGCTTCATTCCCAAGTGGCCTGCTTGGCCTTTATCTTAGCCTATTGTTCTCTCATTTAACGAAAACCAAGGGAAGAGTTCAGTAGGTCAGTAAGTCAAGTAGAAAAGTTACAGCAAAAGCACTGTCCTTCTGCACTGTCCCAGATTCCCCATTGCACACTCAGGTCACAAGCAAAACCCAGATGGGGCTGCGGCCCTGTTCTCAGCACCTACAGATATAATGGCCTTTTTGATTTTTACAAAAGGAATGGAGGCTGATTATAGTCCTAGCAGGGATATCATTTTTATCCTCAGAGCCTCTCGGCTCCTGTGAAAGAAAATGGCTGACTCTGCCCTATTTCTGAGGAGCAAATGTGCATGTTAGCAAACCACCAGCGTAACTCAGTCTCTCGGGGAGGCCACCACCGAGAAACCAGCTTATTTTGGCAACTAATGGAAAACTACCTCGTTCGTCTCTGTATCCATGTACACAGCTGGGGCTAGAGTGACGATGAGGATTGGGGAGGCGTGGAGGAAGAAGTGAAAAGGTTGGGGTTAAAATGTGATGGGAAGAGCCCTGGCTGGTGTGGCTCAGTGGTTGGAGTGACACNCGGCTTGGCTCAGTGGTTGAGCATTGACCTGTGAACCAGGTGGTCACAGTTCGATTCCCGGTCAGGGAAAATGCCCAGGTTGTGTCCCGATCCCTGGTAGGGGTCATGCAGGAGGCAGCCAATCGGTGATGTTTCTCTCTCATCGATGTCTCTCTCTCTAGCCCTCTCTCTCTCCCTGAAAATCAACAAAAACATATTTTTTAAAAATGAAAAAAGACCCTAGCTGGTTTGGCTCAGTGGTTAGAGCATCGGCCCTTGGACTGAAGGGTTCCGTGTTTGATTCTGGCCAAGGCCACATACCTTGGTTGCAGGCTCTGGCCCAGGTTG